TCGTGCCGTCAAAGAGTTGACAGTAGCTGCACATGCAAAGAGGAAGGAACAGTGGAGGCTCAACTAAATGTTAAAAACTGATTTTTTCACAAGTTATCTCACTGTTGTAAATCTGACTTGTATTGTCATGTATTACATATAGCACGTCCTATGTGTTCCTTGTACTGAAAGAGAGTTGAGTTGATTAAAAGAAATGTTCATGTGTTGGTAAATATATTCTACTGTTAATAAAAGGTTCACTTGAGATGCCTTGTGTTTCTTTGAAATCATTTTGAATTGGCCTACATCAATTTATTACATTAAAAATGCAATGAAACATTGAAATTGTACTATGTCATACGGTAAAACAAAATATGTCATATGGTAAAACATTGAATTTTAAAAGAAATAAAAATAGATACTTTGTTTGTTTACATGGTTCATGAAAATAATGGAGGAGAGCTAGTATGATATATACATAATATATATATAACTTCAAGGCATTTTTGACTAATTTCTTGCAAAAAAAATAGAACAAATGTCCATAGATGACTGTAGTTGTTAAAAAAACAATATATATATATATATTATTTTTGGTGTAGGTGTTTATATTTTGCAACTTGTTATAGAATACTTACAGATCAACTATTACATTTAACTGTGTCATGAATATCAAATTTAATTTATTTCTAAAAATCACTTCGTTTTACCTTATGACATTTTCAAGGACATTTTCAACAAAGAAACACATTAAAATGTCATATATTGTTATTTTTTATAAAGGGCACTAATAAAAACAAAAAATATAGCCTACACATAGATTTACACAAAAAATGCTATATTTCATTTGTCCTTTCATTTTTATTTTTTTACTGTTTTGAAATTCTAAAACGTGACTGACCCATAAGATAAACTAGGCATATGTTTGAAAACACTGAACAGTTATATGACGAGCGCGTCTGTCTCCACAGGCACAAGCGCCCTATAGGTTTGAATGGGGAATTACGCCTCTGGCTGCAGTGAAAACTGGACACCTGCAGCGCTAACATTTATGTTTTTTATACTAATAGCAATGCCAAATATTGTCGGATACATGCAAAATATAAATAACTGTAAGTTACAGTCTTACCCTGGACAACATAGTGATGAGCACGTCGCCGAATGACATACTTTTCTGCTTTCGATAAATTCTCGGGGGTATTCTCCACTACTTTTGTAGTTTATTATTTCTTTGTATTGTGTAGGATCCATTCTGAAAATAAAAAAGGTCTAAATTGAATCTTACTTAAAGTGTTTATACTTCTTGTTATGTAGAACTATTTAAATGAGCTAGCTGCTACACAATCTGAATAATTAGTAGCCTAAAGGAAACAATCAATAATTATCACTATAATAAGTAGTAGGAAACAATCACTATAATTTACTATAAAATAATGGCAGTAATGTTTTTAATCATAACAAAAAATGCATCATAGTATTTAATATCCTAAATACAGCACCAAAAAAAAAATCACACAGCAAAACTTACCTCATAAATGCTTCCTCATTCAAACGCAAGAACTAAAATAAAATCCTTTTTTTATTATACTATAAGCCGATAACCAGTAGCGCATGCGTGTACCGTGCACTGTGCATACCATGAGAGATTATAAACCATATGTAAGTTATTTGTGATAAGCAATAATGAGAATCAATAAAAGTGCGCGTTTGTGTTATAAAGTCAAATGTGCATAGGTGGGGGATGGGTAAAAAGAAATCTGGCGGGAATATAATATGGTGGGATCCACTCAGTGTAAGATACTTATCGATGGATGACAGTGTTTACACATGATGACAATTAAAGACATCACCAGCATAACTGCAGTGTGTTATAAATACTAAAGGGGGAACAAAAGGGGGTGGGAGACGGGAGGGGGGAACCACTTTTTCTGGGCCAGCAGGTAAAACGGTTCCCCCAGTGTGTTCAGTGTAAGAGACCGATCGATGGATGACAGTGTTTACACATGAAGATGACACTTAAATACATCACCAGCATCACTGCAGTGTGTTATGAATTCCTTAAAAATGTAATATTGCAGGGGGGGGGGGGGACCACTTTTTCTGGGCCAGCAGGTAAAACGGTTCCCCCTGTGTGTTCAGTGTAAGAGACCGATCGATGGATGACAGTGTTTACACATGAAGATGACACTTAAATACATCACCAGCATCACTGCAGTGTGTTATGAATTCCTTAAAAATGTAATATTGCAGGGGGGGGGGGGACCACTTTTTCTGGGCCAGCAGGTAAAACGGTTCCCCCTGTGTGTTCAGTGTAAGAGACTGATCGATGGATGACAGTGTTTACACATGAAGTTGACACTTAAAGACATCACCAGCACCACTGCAGTGTGTTATAAATACTGAAAATGTAATATACAGAACCACTTTTTCTGGGCCTTCAAGTAGACGAATATCATAAAATAACGTAAATGAGAATAACAACACAGATTACTTATTTGTGCAGTGCAATATAGTTTATTTATGTCTACAGCAAACCGACACACGCAGTAATAAAAATAATTAAAGCTGCAAGCAGCATTTAGCGGTGTTCAAGCAGTTAAGGCCTTTAAGGCCGTTAAGCACAAAAGCATCAAAAGACATTAAGTTGTATGTAGCAAGCATTTAACCACTGAGATCATAGATAGAATAGACCATGTTTTTGCATGATTTACCATAATATACCACATTTCAGTGTGATTTTTCATTATTTACAATGTTCCAGTTTGATTTACCATGAATCTAGCATGATTTATCTTAGTTTACCTTGATTTACCATGTTATATGATGATTTAACATGATATAGCACATTGTAGAATGATTTACCAGGATTGGTAAATGATCTCCATGAAACTTTGCATGCTTCTTCGCCATGTTATGACACATGTGCTCATCAATTTTTGTGAAGTTCTGAGTTTTTAGTTATGATTTATAGGCTTTTGAGTGTATTTTGACACGCCCCCTTTTCTAAATGACCCTGTTACAGTAAACCAAAGGGCAAAGTTCAACTTTTTTTGATAATTATTGATCTAGAGAGTCCAGAGAATTGTCCTAGACTGGTCTGGTTCCGATCAGGCAAAAAACCAGGGACTAGTTCGCAAAAGTAGGTTTTGGACAAAATTAGCCATAAAGTCAAACGGTCGAGGAGTTATGGGCAATTTAGTACTTTTGGTTGCTGTAGCGCCACCTATGGGCCAATCGGGCTCATACTGTGATAGGTTCTCCCCAAACTGAGGCCCTACCACCTGGCCAGGTTTCAAGTCTCTAGGCCTTACGGTTTGGGCTGCACGATGCGTTTTAGGTTTTTTTTTTTTTTTCAAATAGCAATTACAATAGGTTTTCAGCACTTCGTGCTTGAACACCTAATAATAAAAAGAACGTATAACTAGAATTAGCAAGTACGATGTAACGTTATCTACATCCGATTGAGCCATAAACATCTGAAAATATACATTCTATGCTTTAAAACCTGTATGTAATTGCAAATTATCTAACAAACAGAGTAAAATGTACATTACTGTGTAAAATGTAAGCCTAATAAAGCTGTTGATGTGAAAAACAAAACTTGGTTTAATGATTTATAATTTATTTAAAATGTATTTAATAATAAGTAAACAACAAAATATAAACTGGAAAATTTGAGTTTACTCCATTTTCCTTTTAAGTTATCTTTACTTAAACATTTAAGTTAATTCAATGAGAAGACCACATTAGGTCAACTCAATTAATTAAGTTTGAATTTTCCCATTACTCAAAAAAACTTAAGCAACCACTTTCCTCAAATCATTTGAGTAGTCTCAACTTATTATGGTGCGTTCACACCGGACGCGAATAGCGCGTCAGGCGCGAGTGATTTCAATGTTAAGTCAATGCAAAGACGCGTTACGCGCGTAAAAAAATCCTGCGGCGCGAATGAGGCGTAGAGCGCGGCGCGGTAGACGCGAATACCCCTCATTCACGCGTCAAGTTCGCGCGAATGGCGCGAATTGAAGCGTCTGGCGCGGAAGCGCGTTACGCGCGAATGATTTAGTTAGTGCTATTTGTGCATTCACGCGTTTGACGCGAATTCGCGTCTGCCGCCCGAGTTGAAAAATTTGAACTTCTGCGTCAATTCGCGCCGCGTTAACCAATCAGGAGCCTGCTTGCTGCTGTCACGTGGTGAAGTGAAAGTTTATGTTATTTTAATAAATTATTTTGTAATATTACTAAAATCTCTGGTGTGGTTCTAATGCACAACAAAGCAAATCTTTCACATAAAAACTCGATTTCAATATATGAGAGATAGTACTCATTTTGTATTGAATGCTATTTATTCCATATCTATTTTAGATTATATGAAACATTATTATTTGAATGTAAAAACAACAAACACTTAGTGTATAATAAATAAATAAAAATCACAGGACAGGTTTCACTTTTGGAGGCTGGCTCCATTTATTATCAAAACAAAAATAAATGACAGATTAGGTGGATGCGGGCGAGGGTGAACCTCGCGCCGGGCTGTAGAGCGCGGGCTCGACAGGCATAGACCACTCGAGGCCGAGGCTTTACACGGCCTATGCTGTCCTCTTCAGCGTCCTCACCGTTAGGTCCACCAAACCTAGCTCCTGGAGCAAATTGTGAAACTCCTGAAACCCTCCGGAGGGTCTGGTGGACCCGAGTACAGCGACGATGTCCCCTACGCAGCTGTTTCTGCTCTCCAGAGCATATACAAGCGGTGACTTTCTCGAATAATGCTAATGCTAATGCTCGATAAACATCTAAAAAGATGGCCGCCAACGGGTTTCGAAACTTTCGCCTCCGATTTCGCCTCTGACGCGCGTAAATTTCGCTTTAAACTTTTGTTTTTACGCGCGTCAATTTCGCCATTGACACACGAATTAACACAAAGTGGTCAAGCGTCAAACTAGACGCGGTAGACACGAATTTGACGCGCTATTCGCGTCCGGTGTGAACGCACAGTTAGGGTTTACAGTACATATGAATGTAAAATCAAAATGTGGTGCAGTTCAAGATAAAAGCATCTGCCAAATGCATAAATGTAAATGCATTTGGATATGCAAAACATGCCTTCAAAGCTGTAGCGCATACATCATTGGTAGAGGAACTAGACTCTTATTTTTTGGCTACTATGAGGTTGTGGTAGAGGGGCTTCACAATAATGTGCAGGTAGAGCGAGCTGTCAATGAGGTACTCGGATGCTCTACGCTGCAGGTCCGCTTCCAACAGAAAGTCTCCGGCCTCCTCCGTGCTCTGGTGGAAGTTGTAGACATGACGGACCACCACCTTCCCCTGCTTGCGTGCCGAAACGATGACGGTCTTTTGAAAGCTGACGCCAGCAAAGTCCGAGCTGGAGGTGGCAGGTGTGACGATGATCCGCGGACGCCCCCCGTCGGTGCGAGTGGGCTGCAGGGACCCCTGCTCCGTGTAAGCGGATCGCACGCTGAGAGGAAGCCAGCGCGGAGAGAAAAGAGCGTTCCACGTCACTCGTTTGCTGGCGTCGTAACCGCTCGGCCCAAGTTGAGTCTGAAAGCTGAAGCTGCGGTCGTCCCGCGTAGGGTTGTTGATCACCCACGGGGCGCCCCATGCCGTCGACAGGTAGTTACGTGGCGTGAAGAGGCTGCAGTTAACGTCGAAGTACTTCGCGAGCTGGACGGGTGAGGCCGAGTGGAACTGGAAGGCCAGGAAGAGCAGATCGCGTACGGATTCGTTATATTTCAACATCAGAGAAGACTTCTTTTGCAGGTGGAACAAATGTTGAGGTGGTATCATGGCGTAACGTATCGCTTTGAGTGCGTTCTCGGCCGTCTCACCTGAAGGCTGGTTCTGGTTGATCCAGGCTTCCAGAGCTTCGTACAGCTCCAGTTCGCTCTGGAGAACCAGGTCTGAGCGCTGCAGCAAAGACAGCATCAGTTCTGGGCTCATGGAGCTCCACTCGGCGCTCTGGAGAACCGATGACAGGTTCCAGGACAGGTACTGCAGGCAGCTTTTCTGCAGGCTCACGTCCCCGATCTGCGTGGCGTACTGGTACCAGGCCACCGCGTGACCCGTGGGCGAGTCGCTGGACAGGTGCTGGGACATGTATTGGGTGAGGCCCTGCTGGAGGTCCCACACATGATACTTGCTGGCGAGCTTGTGTAAAGGAATGGCCTGGTTCAGACGCACTGTGATGTCACCGCAGTACAAGTACCTGCAGGGAAAGAGGTCGGGCTGTGAAATCAACCTTCCCATTGATGTTTTACCTGAGATAACTTTCATTACTCTAAAAATTTACCTCCATAACCTGTGTAGAATGATAACATAACATAACACAACTGAACGCTGTACTAAATGGTGCACTAAAACTCTTTCAAGATCTTGTATTGTCAATGTAAGAGTCCAGCACTCTGTAAAGTCTCCTCCAGCACATCCCAAAGACTTTCAATGAATTTAATTAATGAATGGACTCAGAGGTCAATAATGATCCAATCATAGACTCTTAGGCATTTGCCAATTTAAATCCAAACAGTGACTTTTTTTTTGGCCGGGCAATGTATAAAGCACACAATTTATTTAAAGCGAGGGAACAAATTAGTAAAGCATGCTGATGTAAGTCGTGGGAATAAATTGTTAATTCATGGGCACGATATACATATTTCTTTCCAGCATGTCATGTGCAGGGCTCTGTACATTTATCTGAGGCCTAGATGTAGGTAAAACCTGGAAATATTCATGATCTTTCACCACTGTGTCCTTTTGACTGTCCCTCTAATATGTGTACATTGGTTGCATTAGTTTTATTTCTAATTTTGTCATAAAATTCACTACTATAGTAGGCTATATATACATATCAATGTATGTTACGGCTTGAATTATACAATTTAATATGGACCCCAGGAAGATTGACATTAGCTTTGTGGAAAGTGATGTTTAAATACTCTATTTAAATTTCCCTGCAAATGCGTTTTATGGAAAATCTAAAGAAATCAAATATAATATCAATTCAATTAAATCATTTTGGTGAAAATCTACAATATAAAATAACATAAAATTTAACAAAATGAGATCATTACGAGAGCAATACATTACTATCTACCAAAGTCAACTAAAAGGCAAACACATTACATCATAGACTTTTTCCCAGAAACTCTAGTTGCTCCCAATTAGTGGACTGTTATGGCCTATTGATTATAGATTTAGGCTTGTAACTAAAAGGTTGTATAGATTCAAGGGTAAAGCCTGGGCAGTCACCTCAACCACGTGTTGCTCCAAGAGAATTGTAAATCACTTTGTATAAAATTGCCAAATGACCAATTATTAATGAATCACTCACCTAATGAACTTATCAAAGACAGCTGCACAGTCTGGCGTCTCTCTGAGGACCATCGCGGTGGAGTTACGGGTCTGTAGGAGCTCTTCAAACACGTCGCTCTGTAGGGTCAACACCAGCGAGTGGACCTGCATCACCTTCACCTCGTCCGTGTTCAAGGTCTGGACGCGCAGGCTCACGTCACTGCCTTTTCCCTGGGTCAGCAGGGCCTCCATGCGCTGCACCAGCACCATTGAATGGTTCAGTGTGGTAGCGCTGTTCTCCAACACCACATCTGGCTTCAACGCTGCTGAAGGACAGAAATGCGGCATTTGTGAACCGATTGGGGCAACGAAAGAGTATAGGACAACAAGAAACAAGAACAATCCATATTATGAGGGGTTTAGATGTTCTTGCATGCATTTGCACTCAATATTTGATCAGTTTTTGAATAATCTCTCAGATTCACATTTGTAGCCATTCCTTCTTGCATGTCATTTATGTAGTTGGAACTGGTTTTATAAATTTGAGAAACACCCCAGAAATTGGTTTTCCCTCCACCTCTATTTGGCTCTAAACTGAATTTTCCTCCTTTCAGAATCATAAAAATAAATATATATATATATAAATAAATATAGCTGCGAGCAGCGATTACGGGCCCAAGCCGGTGGCACCGCAACCCCGGTGCCTTTAGTTACCTAAAGGCACCGGGGTGGCGGTACCACCGGCTTTGGCCCTTCATCGCTGCTCGCAGCTATATTTATTTATATATATATATATATATATATATATATATATATATATATATATATATATAAAGCCGGTGGCACCGCCACCCTGGTGCCTTTAGGGTTATTGTGCACGACGTGCAAAAACGTAACCCTGCTTTGACTGTCGAAAAGAAGTGTGCTGTAGAGCTTGTATCAGTGTGGGCTCTGCAAAAGTGTGCATTGAGGGCACATGTCAACCACAAAGTATGCGAGAGCAACCTTCTGAAAGGTCAGGTCTACATCCAGGTCTACATCTGCCGTGTGTTTACATCATAGTAGTGAAGTTTGAAGCAATCAGGTGATTTCAAAGCTTTTTGAAAGTGACAGACTTCCTGCTGCCAGTTGGTGGCGCTATAACCGGGGTGGCGGTGCCGCCGGCTTTGGCCCTTTCACGCTGCTCGCAGCTATATTTATATATATATATACACACACACACACACATATATATATATATACATAAATATATATATATATTGTTTTTTTAAGAGACAAGACAGAATATTACTTGCCTGATCTGATTAGAAAAATAGTGTTTGTGTGTGTGTGTGTGTGTGTGTGTGGCGTAATTGAACAATGTAGACATAAAGACATACTCCGTCCTTTTGTTCATACAGGACATTATTCAAACTGCAAAGTGTTTACTTATATTTGTGTACACTCGCAATAAAACACAACATTGTGCTTTTGTCAAACTGTAAACTACAACTGTCACCCAACCAAAATCTCTTACACACACACACACACACAGTTTAAAAGCAAAAAATATCAAACAATCCTATTTAAAAACAGTCTGTGGGAGCCATCTTTTGGACATTCATCATATCGCATTGGTTTTCATTTCTTGTCATCAAACAGAGCCCTAATCTGTTTATTTTTTCAGTTACACATTCTACATTGATTAAAAAAGAAAAATCAAAGGTGTTTTTATTTTATACAGAAATAAATAATCTATCATTCAGATGAGAATAAAGTTAGTGTTAGTTCAAATTTTAAGGAAAACAAATATATGATCTGAAATATAGCACATTCATGTAAAATTCATTTAGGTTCGATTACCAAACATACAATCTTAATGTAATTTAAAGCAAACAATACATTTAAAATATATGGGTTGTATGACTATTTTTTAATATAAAAAGATATATATCCAAAAAGACAAGGTCTAAAGTTTAACAAGGGTTAAACTCTTATCACTGTAACAGACACAATCACACACACAATCACACACACACACACAAGTCAAATCACTTACATTTTAGATGCAATATTGACTTTTTTTCTGTTTCAGCAGCGAAAATAGTTAAACAAAGATCACAGCAGAACCATCGCGCATCTCACAGCAACGCGTTCTCATTACTGAATGATTCAGCATTTTGAACGAATCGGTTGACTCAAAGATTCAATGACCAATCAATCCATAAACATCTATCTCATAAGTGTTTACTTTTATTTGTGAACAATCGCAATAAAACACAACATTGTGCTTTTGTCAAACTGTAAACTACAACTGTCACCCAACCAAAATCTCTTTTTTATTTTATACAGAAATAAATAATCTATCATTCAGATGAGAATAAAGTTAGTGTTAGGTCAAATTTTAAGGAAAACTCTGAAATATAGCACATTCATTTAAAATTCATTCAGGTTCAATTACCAAACATACAAATCTTAATGTAATTTAAAGCAAACAATACATTTAAAATATATGGGTTGTATGCCTATTTTTTTTTATATAAAAAGATATATATCCAAAAAGTAACAGACACAATCATACACACACACACACACACACACACACACACACAGACACACACACAAGTCAAATCACTTACATTTTATATGCAATATTGACTTTTTTCTGTTTCAGCAGTGAAACTAGTTAAACAAAGATCACAGCAGAACCATCGAGCATCTCACAGCAACGTGTTTTCTCATTACTGAATGATTCAGCATTTTGAACGAATCGGTTGACTCAAAGATTCAATGACCAATCCATAATCTGTCTCATTCATGAATGACTCAGCCGTTCGAACGAATCGTTCGAACAAATGAATCAATGACTCGCTCATTAAGACGGTCGCCTGGCGACACCTAATGACGGCTTAGTGATATGTTTAAAAGTATCATTCTTTCAAACGATTGTTAATTAACTCATATTTGAAACATAAGCTATATATATATACACACATATATACACACAAAAATAAAATAAAAACACATTTGAAGCGTGTTTGCTTACTAAATTGTGAGCAGAACGAAAGTTGCAGCAAATATCAGCAACAGGAGTCAAATTTCATTAATCACGAGAGTGAAGAGCTGACTGAAAAGATGATGACGGAATAGGCTATTTTATGTAAAAGCGCCTATTTAAGCGAATCTATCATTGTACTCTTTTGTTGTTGTGTTTTCCGTGAAAAATAATAGACTATTGAACTCACAATTCAAGCAATTGGCCCCCGATATTGCACTAATTTTAAAGTGACACTAAAAAGTATGCGGCTGGACTGGCATTCATTACGGTGCGCGTCCATGGCGACGAGCGAGCAAAACAGAGCGAACGTTTTTTCATTTCTACTTCCATAGAAATTCATTCGAGCGCACTGTGAGCGCCACCACTATAAATGTCCTTACTTTACTTTCACTTTTAACTTAGCGATATAAAAGCCCCCGGTGTTACACGTCAAATAACCGGTGAGAAAAAATTCTCGGAGTCACATAGCAGCTACCTATATTTAAATACAACAGGCCTACCTGATTTTGAACACAAGAGGGCAGTATAGCCCTATGTATTATTTGATATATTTATTTTTTAACTGAATAGTGCATCCTGGCTGTTTTTAAACTTGTACATTATTCTTAAATTGAAAACAAGAATAAAATGGGTTTAGTTCTGATATTTGTATAATTTTATCTAGAAATAAATGGTGTATAATTAAATTTTTAGAAGATATGAGGCTTTTAGTGTTTATTTTTTTTTACATGACTTTAATCCCTCGCCATAGCAAAACAATTAGAGATATTCAATAGATATTCACAATTATGCTTCTTTAATGTATTTTCATCATGTTGAAAAAGTTTGGTGGGAATAAAATAAACCACTTAAGAGGAGTGGGTAAAAATGTAGAGCCTGGTTTTGCAAAACATCCACATTAAGACCAAAATAGCCCACTTCCTGTTGGGCTGGCTTAAAGTTGTTTGGCCCGATGAGATCTATATGTGTACAGAGTTTCATAATATTACATGCAAGTGTGTTTGATTTATGGACCAAATTTTCTGACCAAGTTAATTTAATTAATAAACTAATTATATAAAACTATTTTCAATGCACTACAATTCAACTGGTTATATGCCTTTACTTATTAATACAACTTATTTAAAAAATACAAGGCGTAAGACATTTTTTTTTCTTTTTTAATGCAGGCCAAACCACACAGCAGTCAAATGGTTAATCTAGCCCCCCTCCCCCTCCCCACACTCACAGACACACACACACACACATAGACGTAGGCTCAGAGAGAGAGAGACATAAAATGACAATTTTCAAACCAAAATATCTGACTTCCTGTTGGTTGGAGCTATTGAGTGTAAATTAGAAAGTTGTCTGGCTGGAGGAGAACAATACACATACCGATTTTTATTACTGTAGATAAAATCAATCCCCCCACTTTTGACAAAAGGTGGCGCTACTGAGCCCCTCACCACGCCCGTTTCTGAAACTCTGCACATGTCTACTGTCTAATAAATGTGATGTGTCTGTCGGGTTTCATGCAATTTCAAGTATGTTAAGAGTCTCAAAAGCATCAACAAAGAATAATAAAGTTTGATGCGTTGCCACGGCAACAGTATCTAAGATATCAATAATCCTTTCTCAGGTCTACATCTGCCGTGTGTCTACATTATACACATAAAGTTTGAAGCAAATTGGGTAAAAATAAGAGGGTGATTTCAAAGCCTTTAGGAAGTGACACACTTCCTGCTGCCAGTTGGTGGCGCTATAACTTTGACTCACAATAGTCACATCCATGTGATCGGACTCTTACAGCGAACACACTGCTGAAGTTTCATCAAGATCAGTTAATGTATGCAGAAGTTATAACACACTTCCTGTTTCCTTTATTCACCATAAATTCGTTTCCTCGCCACGGCCAAACCGTTCGAGATATCAAAAATCCCCTGGCAACTTTTCATCCTCAATGTCTTGACTTCATGCTGACCGAGTTTCGTGGCGATTGGTTGAATTCTCTAGGAGGAGTATATCGAATTCCAGGGGCATACGCTTCCAAACAAACCATAATAGCCGACTTCCTGTTGGGCTGGGGTAAAAAGTAAAAGTACAAAGGATATATGAATCGATGAGATCTATATGTGTACCGAGTTTCATATTATTACATTCAAGCGTGTTTGATTTATGGACCAAGTTTTCGGACCCTGTTCCAGGGGGCGCTGTTGAGCCCCCCTGCCACGCCCGGGTACCAGCTTCAGCCCGGCCCTGATGGCCGCGGGTTCTGACCCGTGTGCAAAGTTTCAAGAGTTTTTGAGC